CCAAACCTCTGACCTCTGACCTCTGGAGCAGGAAGTGGGGGGGGCGGGGTCGATCATGACCCATAGACGTCTAACAAAAGGAAATGTCGCATCACTCGTCTTTATCCCTGAAGACAAACACAATCGGAGCTACTGTACCTTTCATGAAGCGCGATTGGACGAACCATCTGTGGGTCTGCTGACTGCTGCCAAAAGAGTTTTATTCTCCAGATGACAAATAAAGTGCTACGAGGCTGTGATGGAGCCACCGAGGAAACAAGTTCACATGCTTTTGTTCAGCAGGAAGAGAAACGGTTCCGTAAAGTCGCAAAAAGACAATTCTTTTTAAAATGTGTTGTTAGAGTCGCCCCCGGTGGACTACAGTGGTAGTGCCTCTCATTCCACTGCAGCCGGTCTCACCGTCTGCCCTCGCAGTCCTGGTTCTGGTTCTCCCGGGCCTCCCTTCCATGCAGAGGGTCCAGCAGCACGTCCTGGGTCTCCAGAGGGGAGGAGCTCTGTCCTAGAGGAGGGAGGAGGAGGAGGAGGAGGAGGAGGAGGAGGATGGGGAGATATTGCTGCTCCCCAACTCTATAAATATTGGTCTTATAAATAAAAAAAATGGAGCCAAAAAATCAATGCTTGTGCTCGGCTGCCACATGTTCTTCATATTTAATGTTTCTGAAGAGAACACGCACGACATTCCAATCATGTTTCCATTTAGCTACAAGTCCATCTGGAGGAAACACCTAATCGCACCTCTCTGCTCGGTGGAGCTAACAGCGGTTTGTTTTTGTCTGTTTATATGTTTGTTTGTTTGTCTGTTAGTTTGTTTATGGTTGTTTTTTGTCTGTGTGCTTGCTTGTTGTTTGTTTCTTATGTTTTTCTGTTTATCGGTTTGTCTGTATTTTGTCTTTGTCTGTTTCTTTGTTTGTTCATCATCACACAGCGCGCTTTCATTTCCTCATTCATTCACTCTATCGGGCAGATTTTAGCGCAGTTTCCACGTATGAACAAAATAAGATGTTACGTCAAAGACTAAAGTGTTTTCTGGACGATCCTGTTGATGAAGAAGCGCTTTTACTTCTCAGGCTGTTAAACACGTCGGGAGAGAATATTGAGGCCTGATTAGATATATTGTCATTTCCAGATGACTACTTGTTTGAACGGTATCGTTGTTCTTACATCAAATGTGTCAAATATGAGGACGGATGACGTTGCTGGCGGGCGGACGACGGCTCGGCCACGGCGAAAACCAGCGGCTTGTGGTCAACAAAGGCGGTGAAGTGTCGACGTTCCTGCAGGAAACGAAAGTGTCGGATGGCGAGGTAGAGACCCAGCAGCCCTCGGCCCAAAGTGCTGTACTGAGGTTTGGGGACGATGTGAAGGGGTGACGGATCGGCGGACCACGCCAAGGCGTTCCATGTTAGAGAACTCTGTCAGGGTCGGGTAGGAAGGCAGGACTCAAACGCAGACGGGCGGACCAGTGGTGGCGATATGGTGTTCCACACATGCTTCACGGCAGACGCAGAGAAAGTGGGCTGGGTGAGTTCTGGGAAACCAGCCAGTAGCCGGTGGAAGTCGTCTGATGGGGAGAGCACGCTAGACAGTCGTATGGAGTCGGCCCCGCTGAGCGTGCACGTGTAAGAGCACAACGCGACGGCGTCGATCAAACGGCGGTTCTTACCATCCACCAACAGTCCAAGCGCACACAAACAATCACCGCCGAGGAGGGGAACGGCGACTTCTGCCGTGACAAAATCCCAGCCGAACCGATGCCCTGTGAAGCACAACTCAATGTACCCTGTTCCATACGTGCGGGTGGGGGTCCCATTAGCAGCCTCCATCGGGGGGCCACGGCTGTCGGTTACCATGTCCAAACGGGATGCAGGCAGGACACTCCTCTGTGCACCCATGTCACCCAGGAACCGTCGTCCGGAGATGCTGTCACGGATAAAAAGCCGCCTGCCTACGCGGCCGACACTCATGGCCACTAATGAGCGCCGGCGTTTCCCTGAATCTGCATGGCGAGCGGCATTTAAGAGCCTTCGGTCCAAACTTCTCGTGATAGAAGCACAAGCCTGAAGAAGACTGCTGGGGGCCTGAAGACGGCTGCCGACGAGAAGAGGTTGCTGCGACGAGGGTGGAATCCTCCGTTGTCACAGGAGCGGCGTGCGTGGGAAGAAGCGCGGCCATGACACGGTGCCCTTGACTCGCCAGGAAAAATGTATCAGCCTCTTCAGCCAGTTTGACAGTCAGTGATCGTGGAGTTGACCAATGCAGCTCTGACTTGGGAAGCTGACGCAGGAAAAGCTGAATGAACAGAAAGCCGTGCGTGTGCTCCCCCAGGAGATCAGACCCATGAGCTCAGACGCTTTACTGTCACCCGGTAAAAGTCTGCTAGCTCCCTCAGCGTCGGACAGCTTTAACTGTCAGCGCTGCACATTTAACGTTTCAGGAGACTCACCACTCGGGCGCTGTTGACTTACCGAGAGCCGACACAACGTAATAATACCGTGTTGTATCAGCGGTGATCTCCCGCGACGCGGGGGAGAGAATTGGGGGAGTTTGAGGGTGACAGCGGTCGCGTTCATGGTCGAGTCCTGTTTGCGAATACGTCAAGCAAACGAACGTCGGGGTCACCAGTGTGGAAGTTGCATTTAAACACAAAAGGCGGTTCCTCAAGTCGGAAACACAAGTGTGTGTCTCGTTTATTTTTACATCACAAAACGAATGAATAACAAAGATGGCGCAGCCCTGTGATCTCACAAGCAAGAGGCTCTGCGTCATCAACAACAACAGAATATTTAACGGGTCTGCGATGCCGGAACCGTCGTACTTACGTGTATAACACATTACTTAAATACTGCATGAAACAACAGAGTGTAGAACCACACTAAGAACGAGGGTGAATTATGAAGTCACGTCCACTACAGGGTAGTCATTTTATTTTGACATGTGCAATCAAACAGGAAGTGATGCTACAGGAAGTTGTAGTGCAGTAAAGGGCAGAGGCCGTGATCGTAGCCGTGTGGCTTTCCACATATAACCTACGTCGATCATGTCTCTGAATCCCCCAGGAAAGCATTTTATGTTCTTTATCTGTTGAACGATTAAGAATCGTGACTTTGTTAAGTTTCTCTAATTCAGTTGATGAAGTTTTGTTTTTACTCTGATTCAACGCTGCCAAGATGTATGTGGATATTAAAAGGAACAAGCGCTCGTATTCCTGGCTGTTCATTCATAACACGTTTTGGAAAGTACAACACACGATGAGAACAGTACACACATCAAACGTCATTTTTCCAAAGTTCATGGGAGAAAAACACAAATAAGACACAATGTGAGGTTTTATTCATGAGGATGTGAAAAGTTCCCTGTGATTATTGATTATGAATCAGTGTTTCCGTGTCACATTATTATTGGTGATAAATTGGTGTTTCCTGATCATCTGCAGGCTTCTGCTGCCCCCCAGTGTCCCTGTGAGGAACTCCTCACTCCTCAGTGTCCCTGTGAGGAACTCCTCACTCCCCAGTGTCCCTGTGAGGAACTCCTCACTCCTCAGTGTCCCTGTGAGGAACTCCTCACTCCTCAGTGTCCCTGTGAGGAACTCCTCACTCCTCAGTGTCCCTGTGAGGAGTTCCTCACAGGGACATCCGATATTACTCATAACTGTCCTGTGAGGAAACTGGACGTAGAAACGAATATGAATTAAGAACAGACGGTTCTGAGCTTCATCGTGTCCATGAAACATGACGACGAAACTATGAAACACCGGTTCTTCTGCTCTCATTTATTGTTTCTCTCTATGATCCCACTGGACGTTCTTTTCTTTTCTCCTCGCGGGATTTGACCTCATACACACACACACACACACACATATACACACACACACACACACACACACTACTAAGTTTGTGTTATTTAAACTACTGCTGTGGTTTTGATGGTTTTGATGGTTTTTCTGGGTTTTCTTCTCATTGTCTAACTCACAGGTGGTGGATGTAACGGCTGCGTGCAGCTTCCAGTCTGATCTCTTTCCTCTGTGGGGGAAATAAGTGCTTGTTCTGTTATGAATGAATATGTCCCCTAACCGGCCGGAGGGGGAAGTGACCTCTGAGCTATAACAGTCAGCTAAATGACATGTAACGTAAAGGACAGAGAACACGTCACCGAGGAGGAGCTGGATCATTAGATTAGATTCAACGTTATTGTCATTGCACAGAGTTCAGGTACCGACACAACGAAATGCAGTTTAGATGAATAAATGTACAGTGTGAAACAAACACGGAGCAGTAAATACGTCAAGCAGCAGGCTTGTGCATATGAAAGACACGGTGGTGAGAAGGTAGGGGGAGCAGATGAACCTTCAGTCTCCTCTGGAAGAAGAGACGCTGATGAGGCTTCTTGACCAGGTATGAATATGATGAATATTGTGACATCCACTGGATGTCTTCTCATCGAGGAGACTCGTTGAAGATCTTATGCTTCATAAGTCAACATGTTAAAAGCAGGACTCGTTTCTCTTACTGCTACGCATTAGCATGTTGCATTACTACGCTAGCATGTGTCGTCAATTGCTTCAGGACTACTTCCTCATCACATGGCACCTTTGACCCTCTTTAAAGGCCTCACTGGACTGGAATGTTCCTCTTCAGTCAGGCAGGTTCCTCACTGAGGGAAATGACTCTGAAGTGGTGGAAGTGATGAAGGCTGTTTCTCTGATGCTGAGGAAAGGAGCTTCAATGCTTCCTTACTTAGCTCCTTTAGCATAGGAACCACTCCACCGTCCTTTACGTTAGGGAACGAGATGATGTTGTCCCACAATTCCTTGCAGAAGCAATATTTTAATCGTGATGTATTATTGGTCGGTTAACCAACCCGTTCGTCTCCCTTAATGATTTCTAATAACATAAACATGGAGTTTTTAATGGCGCAGAAAAGAAAGAAGTCAAAGTCCAAATGTTCTGGATCATAAACTAAGAACATGGAGATTTTTAGGTTTAAATAATAAATAAGACAGATTCTGTTTAAACATCAAAGACATTTTATTGGAGACAAATAGAAAATACACTTTCCCTCAAAAGGTTTTACAAAAGTTTTCTGGTTAAAATTCAGTTGTTGTTTTTGCTTCACCTCAAAGGAAAATTCAGACAAACAAAAAGTCAAAGCCTCCTCAGTCCCATAATACACATTATGTCCTTCACTTCCTGTTTACTTCCTCTTTGTCCTGCTTCCACTCGGCTCCCGTGTCCATGACTCATGATATGTAACAAGTGCAGCACCATTTACACGATTCTAATAGCGTTATATAGATGTGGGGACATGCCGTCCTGCTCCTCAGATTAAAGACACATTTACACCCCGCACACTTTGACTGATCTAAGAATGATCTGTTAGAATGATCAATAATCAGCAAGTTGTTTATGCGCATGTTTTTCACTAAGGGGACCAGGGTCATGGTCCACCAGCCTTCAGCATCCGGACCCTAAAGCACCCAGAGACCCTGAACTCACCGGATCCTCGTCGAGGTCGATCGAAATCAGAAACTGCAGAAGAGCAAGTCAACGTTTGTCACCAGGAACAAGCGCTCCTCTGGGTGAGGGTCTGTTCTGGTTGTCTGAGGGTTGCTATGCTCTTTGGGCTCTTTGGGCTTCTTCTTTGCGTGAACATGGATGATATTGAAGTAATCATAAGTATCTTTTATGAAGAATCAGTTTGTTCTGTTGGATGAACGGACCTCGTAGTCACATGTCAGAGCCATGAGACGTTCTCTTTGATGGCACATCAGTGAGGTCACTCTTTGCAAATCTGCATGAATCATTATTTACAAACCACATGTCAGTGTCACATCCTCCTCCAGAGCTCATTGATGGAGTCCCAAGGGAGCGGCCGGGCCCGACCTCTTCTCGGCGGTCCCACAGTTCCCAGAGTTCCTTGCGGCGGCCGTGGCGTCGGGAGCCAGAGACCGGCGGTAGGCGGCGGAGAGGCGGTACAGCACGTCGTGTCGGGGGCCGGGGTGGGCGTCGGCCTTCTGCGTCATCAGCATCTCAAACAGAGTGCTGACCTCAGAGAGCAAGGCCCCGCCCAGTGGGCCGTCCTTCTCTGCAGCTTTACCTGGAGGAGGAACAGGTGTCACTCAAAACCAGACACACTACCTCCAACAGAGCCGTTGTTTTGTTGTTTAAACACAACTCACGTCCTTTAGTCTTATAAACACAACTCTGTAGTTCAGGTGTCTCAACTTCCTCAAAGACCCGAGTGGATCTTGAATTCTTGCAATAAGCAGAAATTGGCACGTGTGGTTTGACTTTTGTGGGTAAACGGACAAGAAATGAGGAGGACGTTTTTTTACGGAAACAATGTACAGGACATTCTTGACATCCAAGAGATGTAGACAACTTTTAATCCTGTAGAAGGAATCTATGATCTTATCTCATCGATCATACTTCTTCCTTTAAATGACTCCTGGTGTTTTACCGAAGGTGGAGAAGGACGAGGAATCCAGGGCGTCCCGAGGCGGGCGCTCACGCTCAGGGGACGAAAGCCCGTCCGGGACGAAGACGTTGTCGTGGTAATCGGCGTTGAACGGCAGAGAGAGGCGGGCCATCCAGGGCGTGTCGCCGACCTCCGCGAAGACGTCATCTGCAGCGAGAGACGGCAGAACCCAGAAGCTTTCAAACTGCAGAGGGAGATTCCTTCACACCTCCTCCCTCCTGCGTATGTCCTCTACTTCCTGTTTGTCATTAGTATTTCCTGCTTGTAGCTTGTACTTCCTGTTTGTGCTCTGTACTTCCATTTTGTGTCTTCTACTGCCCAACACTACACAACAAGACGTCTCGTCAGAGCTCGTTCTGCATGTCCAAAGACAATGAAAGAGCTTCTCAGTTTGAATCGGTTCACGCAGAAGGTCACGATTATGTGAGTCTCTACAGGCGCTCCAGCATCATCATCATCATGATGATGGTGATGCTGATGATGATGATGAAGGAACAACAGTGAGGTGTTTTCATGGAGATCAATAAACTAAATTAAGTCATTCTGACAGAATATCTCATATTTCCGCATTACATGTGGTTGTAAAACTGTTTTTGAGTCACATGACACATCACTGAGAACAAGGTAACAAAAGCAGACCTGACACACACACACACACACACACACACACACACACACACAGCCTACAGGTGTGACATCATCCTCACACCTGGACAAAGAGGCGCTGTGACTTTGGTGTGATTCGTCGTGAGGAAGATGAAGATGATGAAGATGTGGCGGAGAGGAATGTGTTTCCTTCATCAAAGCTTCGACGCACACACACATACACACTGCCGTGGTGTGTGTTACACTGATGCAGCAGCCTGCAGGGTTGCGGTGAGTCAGGCGTCACACACACTCTCTTTATAACACGATGTAGTCAACTCGACCTTTAACACACACAAACACACACATCTACACACTTTTACGGCTACACACACAAACACACACTACCGCACGCACACATTAACTTAGTCCCTATTTAACCATGACATGCTAATAACAGTAAAACTATCTGCTATGCTAATACCTCGCTAACAAGCTGCTAGCAGTGAGATGCTAACACATCAGCGTGCTAATAGCCGGTGGTTGTCTGTAGCTTGTGCACTTTATTTTTGACTCTATTTTTAACCTTTATTTAAATTCCTTCTCATATTTTATTTCATACCGTAGAGTTGGATTGTAAATTGTACTTTATGTTGTCTTATCTGTCCTGTTGTCCATCGCCTCACTGACTGATGTTACGCACCAACCGTCGAGGTTGGACAGGTCATGGGACGAGGATCAGCCAATCACAGGAGGCGTTATCAATTATTTCAGAGCAGGACAAACATGTTCAACGTCCTGCCGGGCCAGGAAACCCGGGCCAAGGGTCAAAGGTCAGACAGTGTGTGTGTGTACCGGAGCTGTGGAGCAGCTGGGGGTCGATGGGTGAGTCTCTCTCTGGTTCCCAGTCCACATCGCCGGCTTCGCTTTCCCCGTGGCCGCTGTCTTTAGTGCTCAGCCAATCAGAGCAGTCCTGACCTCCGTACCTGAACACACACACACACACACACACACAGTGTGTGAGTCAATGAAACGTTTATTTTCTCACGGAGACTCAAACAAACAGCGCTGTTAATCTAAAGAGAAGAGGTTTAGTGGAGGAAGATAAAAGTCTCAGGTGACAAATCCACAGACACACACTCACTCACACAAGTGTCAATCAGATAACGTACACACAACCCGATTTGAACTTCAGCATTTAAATCCAAATACTTACGTGATGGAACGACTCTATTTTGGCTTTAATGTCACCTGGACTGTAGATGTTAATAGCAGGTGATGGAGGAGGAAATGGGGGGAGGAATGGGAGGAGACGAAGGAGGAATGGGAGGAGACGGAGGAGGAATGGGAGACGGAGGAGGAAATGGGGGGAGGAATGGGAGACGGAGGAGTAGATGGAGCAGGAGGAAGAGGAGGAGACTGACCTGCGATGAGAGAACTTGTTGCCTCTGAAGTTGGGCCTCGGCTGAAGCTGACCCTCATGGAGGAGAGAGAGCAGCTGGGAGATCTGCTGCAGGGAGGAAGAGGAGGAGTCAGAGGGACGACATCGTCCGTCTGCTGGTTTAATTGATGGAGCAGTAAGTTTTGTACTGGTGGACCTGGTGTACCAATGAGATCTGTACTGGTTTAACTGGTAGGACAGATGGGTCTGTACTGGTGTACCTAGTAGACCAATGAGTTCCGCACTGGTTTAACTGGTGGAGGGGTGGGTACTGGTTTTACTAGTGGGCCACTGAGTCCTGTATTGGTTTAACTGGTGGGCCAATGGGTTCTGTACTGTTTTAACTGGGATGGGGATTAATAGGCACATATCTCAGAGCAGCACAAAGCGATTTCACTGCTTTTAGTCCCTTTGTCACTGCTCTTTGCTGACAGCTCTGGTTTACCACGGATACACACGACACTCCAGGGAGGAAACACACACACACACACACACACACACGGCAACCTTGTGCGTGCACTAATCCTTTGTTTAGCGGTGGATTCTGCTGCTACAGGAAACAGCTTCTACGTCAGAGCTATTCTTCTGTGGAGGACCACGGCGTCTGCATGTGTGTGTTTTGAGGGGGAAATTCGTACCCGCCCAACCCCCACCCTCCCCCCACCCTCAGGGCTTCCAGCAGGGCTCTGCCCCCCCAGAGCAGCGCCTGAAGCCGGCTGGGCCAATCGGGAGGGTTGAGGAAAGGAGGATGCTGGGTAAAACATTTTTTAAGCGGCTACTTCCTTTCTGCAATTCGCATGAGGACGTCAGACCGGGTCCAGTTCTTTGTCCTCTGTTCTTTGGTCTCCGCCTGATGGGCGTCGGCGGCTACCTTTAACCTCGATGACGCTTCGAGGCGTTTTAATTTAATACATTATTAGTTACGATGAGTTCTGAGGGGTTATTATCCTCTTAAAGTAGCATAAAGCATCTGTATGTGTATCTGTTTATTCAAAAAGAGAAAAGCATGTCGTGCTACGTTGGTAAAATGCTCATGAGACCATGTGGAGAACTTTGAGAATTTTGTACATTACATTTATTATTATTATTATTATATACTTATTTCAAATAAGAGTTTTTAGTTAAATAAATTTTTCTTTAAAGATTTTTAAATCAAACATAATAATAGTAACCCATCTAGATTTTCTACTTCCTGTTTACACTCTAACTCTCCTGAATGAAGCCCCTCACCGTCTAAATGTGGCCTCTGCTCGACTAAACAAAGAATAATAGATGTATTTTTATGTAATATATATCTAAGGCCTTCTCTGCTGAGCTGATTTCTTTCCCACTAAAGGTGTTCTTCAGGGCCAGGTGACAGAGTAGCGTGGTGTTGCTTTACACTACAAACACATCACAGCTCACTTAGGACCCCCCATCCTGAGCAAAGCCCCCTCCTCCTGGTTTCAATATGAATGTGATATGTGATATCCGAAAGACTGTGAGAGGGGATTATTGTCTGTGGCACACAAGCACCTGAATAAACGCACTGCCGTCTGCCCCCGGGCTGTCGGAACAACTCATCATGGGTGGGGGGGCAGAGAGGCTGCTGGGAGTAATGGAAGCTTTTCTGAGCTGCCACATTATCAGAAGGCAAATGTTTAACTAAACGGTGATCCGACCTTTTTTAGGCCCTTTTAGCCTAAAAAGACACCCTATACCCTAAAAGCAAACAAGCCACATACAGGGTTTGTTAAATCATGGATTCTTAAGTTTAATTTCAGGACCTGGAATCAATGAATTTATGAGACGATGTTTGAATTAACTTACATATGAAAGTTTAGACCTGTACTTTCTGTATATTAATGAGGACTTACCTGCACTTCGGGTGAAGCCGAGGACAGCTCGATGGTGTCTCCAAAGGCGGCCATGGAAAGCCGCACCAGGTCTCTCAGTATCTGCCGGTGCTCTACGTCAGGCTCCCCCCGCCCTTCTGAGGTCCTCGGTCTCCGGAGGGTCGCCTGGGACCCCGACTTCGCCGGCTCAGCCTCCTCCCCTCCGGCCTCTGCCCGGCGCCTAAAGATGCTCGAATGGGAGGCCGAAGACGATGACGAAGGGTTCCTGGCTTGGCAAAGAGTCTGCTGCGTTGGGGGTTCAAGCTCAATGGTTCCAGGCTTCCGGAGCATCCTGGTGTGCTGGGTGGCGCCCCCTTCTGGGTATCCCTGGGAAAGGAAGCTGGCGCTCACGACGGATGCCGTTGACGCGTACTGCCTCTCGGTTTGCTCGTTGTCCGACGTCTTGGGGGGCGGAGACAGCGGCCAGGTTTCCCTGTCGTCTTTGGGAGACGCATCCTTTCGCCCCCTGATGACGGGAATCAGCTGGATGTCGGACTTCCTAATGATCTTCTGTGGGCGCCGCGGGTGCCGGTCGTAGGCGGACTCGGCCCGCCGGCAGTTATACGCCCGGCCATCACGCTTCTCTGGGCGGCAGAAGGTCGTTACTAGAGCGACAGCTAACAGCAGAAGCAGGCAAGTTGCCCCAAGGCTCACGGCCAGCATCACGGCGAGGCTGAGCCGGCCGCGGTTACCAGGCGAAGAGTTTTTCAGGTGGTCCCTGAAGTTGACAAAGGTCACCTCCAGCGCAGCCACGGTGGTCATGCTGGGACTTCCCATGTCGGACACGGCAATGTTGAATCTGAAGGTTTTCCCGACGAGCTCGGTGGCATTGGCGGTGTTAACGAACAGCCGGCCCGTCGCCTCCTCCAACCAGAACAGTTCATTGGTGTTACCTTCGACAATGATGTATTTGAGTTGTCCATTCAGCCCAGAGTCCGGATCCTCAGCTTTTAAGGTGTACGCAAGGAAGCCATCAAGTCCTTCTCGGACCGGGCAATCGATTGGCAAAGCGGCAGATCCCTCCTCCATCACAATCTCCGCCTTGTCCGTGTTGACAGGTATGCTCAGGGAGGCCCCGCCCTTCCTGGGTTTAGGCTCCTTCATGACGGGGCGGTTGTCGTTGACATCCTGTACATCGATTTGCACAGAGGCCGTGCCGGTGAGAGGCGGGTGACCCTGGTCCACGGCCTCCACCACAAAGGAGTAGCGGTGGGACTCCTCGTAGTCGAGAGGGCGCAGGACGGTTATGACGCCGCTAGTCGGGTGGACAGAGAAAGACCGGGTGTCAGCTTCCACCTCGTTGGGGCTCCGTATAAAGTAGGACACCCTCCCGCTGAACTCTAGGTCCATGTCGTTTGCCTCCACTATTAGGGCGCGGTAGCCCACCGCGTTGTTCTCCTCGAAGGAGGCCTTGTACAGTGAGGTGGTGAAAACCGGGGGGTTGTCGTTCTCGTCCAGGACGCGAACCAGCAGGTGCTTAACGCAGCTCAGCGGGGGGTCTCCGTAGTCCTGGGCCAGCAGCGAGATGTTGTACTGCATCACCACCTCTCGATCCAGACTGCCGTTGGTGACTATCATGTAGTTGTTCCCGTGGATCCATTTTAAGCGAAACGGGCCGGATTCCTGCTGGAGCTGCGCTCTCACTTTGCCGTTATCCCCCGCGTCTGCGTCCGAAACCATTACCAAAGCCAGGAAGGTGTCCTCCGGGGCCCCCTCCAGCACGGTGGCCACGGGGGAGTTGGGTGGGGTCCAGGTCATGTGTATTCTGGGCGCGTTGTCATTGACGTCTCGGACCTTGACGTGCAGCTTAGAGTGTGCGGCGATGGCGTTGGGCCCGTGGTCCCGTGCCTGCACTATGACCTCATGGGATGCCTGGGCCTCGTGGTCCAGAGACGCTCTGAGGCTCACAGCTCCGGTTTGCGGATCCACGTGAAAGAGTTTCTGAACCTCTGGAGGTGTGTGCTTGCTGAGTGTGTACTCCACCTCCCCATTGGCGCCCTGGTCCGGGTCGGAGGCCCTGAGGTGGATTATGGTGGTGCCGCCAGTCGTATCCTCGGAAAGCTCCACGGTGGGGGTACTGTCCTCAAACGTAGGGCTGTTATCGTTAGAGTCCTGTATGTTAACACGGACTAATGTGCTCCCAGACCTGGGGGGGTTCCCTTTATCCCACGCCACAAGGGTGAGGTCGTACATCGCCTGAACCTCCCGGTCCAGTTCTCTGATCACCACCAGCTCCGCCTGCCTGGCGCCGCCCAGCGACGCCGTCACATCCAGAGCAAAGTGCTGGTTGACGGACAGCGAGTAGGTCTGGAGGCCGTTCGGCCCGGCGTCGGGGTCCACCGCCCGGTCGAGAGGGATCCGCATCCTGAGGCCGGCGGACTCCGAGATCTCCACCTCCTGCAGCGGGGCTGGGAAGCCGGGACTGTTGTCATTGAGGTCCATCACCTCAACGCGGACCCACAGGAAGCTCATAAAGCCACTCCTTCGGTAGAGGACGCTGAAGGCCAGCTCACACAGATCCGAGCCGCGGCACAGCTCCTCCCGGTCCAGGCGGCCCTGGGTGGAGACCAGCCCGTCCCGTGTGCCCACGGAGAACGGGAGGACATTCCTGTGCTCCACCACCTGGAAGTCCTCAAGGTGGCCGCCCTCCTCCCTCTGACGGAGGTCGTCGAGCAGACGGCCGACCCGGGTTCCCGCCGGCTGTTCCTCCCAAACCTGGTACCGGATAGTGACGGAGGACTGGTTGGTGGAGCGAACGCCATAGCAGAGGCTCAGCGCCAGAAGCAGGACCAGCAGCATGATGATGTGCACTGATAATAATACAAATAATCTCTTCAAAAGACAGGAAGGAAAGAAAAGTTTTTAAAAGAGTTTTCATTTGATATTCTAGAAATATATTTTAACATTAACAAACAAATTATCAATTTTCTCTTTAAAATGATCTACAGTTTCTTCTCAGAAAACAAAAGTAATGAAGGGAAATGATTGTTTTCATACCTAGAACATATAAATGGTCCAAAGGAGACAATCACAGGAAGCAGTAAATTAATCCATTGTCCCTCGCAGCCTTTTCCTTCATCCTCCTCCGCTCACACTGAGAGAAGTGAGGATGTGAGCGGCCACATGAGCAGGAGGAGGGTCCAAAGTTTCACGCTCCTCCACCTTTTAAAGAAACACGACACCGTGACACTTTCACAACTCGTCTCAACCTGCAGACCAGTTTGTTAAAATAGAAACATGGAATTATCAGATCCACAGTTTCCTGACACGATGAAAAGAAACACCTGATTTTTTATTTGACAAAAAGTGAAAAAAAACACATTCCAGCACTTCTTCTTCTTCAGAAGTAACTGTGGAGAGGAGTGAGACTGAAACATGGAATGTGATGGACAACTAATAATAACAGGAATAATAACACAGTGATTCTGTATATGTTTCCTATTGTGACGTATCATTGATAAGTTACAGTACCGTAGTGTTCAATTCAAAAAACATTAGTAATTCAGAAGGACTTTGACATTTATGTTTATTAAATGAAGCGATGTAAACCATTCTGTTTTTCCACATTTATAGATCAGTTTGAGGTTTAAAATTCATCTTAAGTTCATATTAAAATGATGATAGTTAAAGTTGAGTTGTTATAGATCATTACAGGTCATTTAGCTGACGCTTTTATCCAAAGCGACTTAGGGGATCGGTGTCTTGCTCAGGGACATTTTGACATGGGGCAGCCGAGGATCAAACCACCAACCTTGCGGTTCCCAGCGCATCCTCCCTCCCCCCCTCCCCCTGCGCCACGACGACCAAAATGAGAAACGAGATGAGAAACACAATTATGGATATTTAAAGTCGTCTGTACACAGACCTCCTCCCCCAGTCCTGTGTGTGTGTGTGTGTGTGTGTGTGTGTGTGTGTGTGTGTGTGTGTGATCACATTCCAACAGGGAGTTTCTGCAGACACAGGAACTTTATCTGGGTTTTAATACATTCATCAATAGTTGAAAAACATACATTTTTGTCATATTTTGCACACGCAAACATGAACTCAATATTGAATTGCATCACCGTGTTAATGATGACCTCACCAATGGAGAGCAAATCAGAGAACGAGCTGGTGACTTCTGACCTCCTCTTCATCACCTGAGCATCCTTTCTCTCCTCCTTAACAATCGTCTCCTCCTCTTTGTCCCGCCTCCTCCTCCCTCGCCTCCTCTCCTGCATCTGTAAACGAGCTTCCTGTTGCAGGAAACAGCCGACGGTGAAGGTCACAGACGGGATGTTGTGTAGAGGAGGGAGGAAACAAGGGGGGAGGAGAGGCGGGAGGGAAACAAGAGCGGAAGTGAAGAAGTGAGGAAAAATGTGAGAGGAGACGGAGAAATCTGCAGAAACACTGCTCCTCCTCTACATCGCCTCTTCATCTCTGAGTTTCTCATGATGAAAGAACTCTTAAAACCATTGAACTTTGACCTCATATCAATATTGTGATGTAGCATAAAGCTAACAGGAGCTAGCTCCTGCACCCGGCCTCTGGGGTCCACGTGCGGCGATTCTTCTTCTGTGGTTCACTTCCTGTGCGAGACCACATGAGGTCTGCAGACGTTTAAACGAGAATCAGAAACTTCTGTATCGATCTGAAGATAAAATAAAATAACTCTTGATTAGTGTAAATAAATAATCACACAGTGCAGGTTTAATAAATATGTGAGTCGTCATGGTTTCATATTCTCATTATATACATAGTACTTTTAACAGTAGCAGCACCTGTAACAACAGTATTAGTAGTAGTATCTGTAGTACCTCTGATAACAATAGTAGTAGTATTCATAGTCATAGTAGTACCTGCAGCAGTAGTACCAGTAATACCTGTAATCTCTGTAGTAGCAGTAGAAGTGTATTAGTAGCAGTACCTGTGGTAGCAGTTGTAGTACCTGTAGTACAGGTGTAGCAGCAGCAGAAGTACTTTTAGAAGTACTCAGTGCATTTGAACAGCAGGGACGAGCTGGTGTCTTCTGATCAGTGTGATTGATTACTCGTGGGTGGAGGGCGGCGCGGTGGTGTGGTTGTGTGTCTCTGTGTAGCCCTGTGATTGGCTGCGACAGACTCCAATACCTCTGGTACAGTACTTGAGTAGATGTACTTACATGTTGGAATTGTGGAATAACATAAATAAATACACATTTTATGTAACGTGTTTTATTAAATCATATTCAAATAATACAATTTTAAAAAATGATTATTTTTTAAAGAAATCAAACAATAGAAATGCAGCAGAGCTCGTTGGATGAAAAAACGTTCAAAATAGAAATGAGGTAAAACAATCAATGAAGCAAAAATCTGAAAATAACTTTTAAACTCAATCAAAAACAAAAACCCAAATAAATGTATTTAAAAAAATAAAAAGCTTTGAATTTATTTTAACCATCTCATTTAACGATAATGGTTCTTCATTTCTGACACGAACACTGACGAAATATAATCTGAAGTCTCACACATCAAAGGCTTAAACACACAAACCGTAAAAGCTGATTTCACATATTCACCCAACAGCTGCTTCCTTTTTTCTCCCGATAAAGGCCACAAACGTACAGACTCTGTGTCACCAGCTTCAGGGCATCTTCTGCTCTCCCTTCCTTAAGCTTCTGGTTGATCAGCTGACCCCGAATCAGTTGGAGCGGAGGGACAGAGACACTCGGAGGCAGCCCAGCTCTTTGTCCTGCATGCCGAGGACGCCCTGGACCCGGTAGTTCCCGTTGGTCAGCCAGGAGGGAACCTCCATGACGGGCAGGTAGAAGTCTGACTGAGGCAGAGAGTACGAACCCTGAACACACAGATCACTGGGGTTAAAGACACCAGGAAGAGCTAGAGGATCACCAGGAGGAACAAGAAGAGCATCAAGGAGAACAAGAAGACCATCAGGAGGAACTAGAAGAGCATCAAGGAGAACAAGAAGACCATCAGGAGGAACTAGAAGAGCATCAAGGAGAACAAGAAGACCATCAGGAGGAACTAGAAGAGCATCAAGGAGAACAAGAAGACCATCAGGAGGAACTAGAAGAGCATCAAGGAGAACAAGATGACCATCAGGAGGAACTAGAAAATCATCACATTCACTTTATTTTCCATAAAATAACATCTGGCGTGAGATCCATTCCTCACGTCTTCAGCCTCACTGACACCACCACTAACACACTGGTCTGGGATCTGCACTCACAGCCTTGAAGGGGCAGCGGCAGGGCAGGCCGTAGGTGTGCAGCGGCTCAGGACAGTCCTGACCCGGAGGGACCAGCTGGTTCAGAAGTTCACAGGCGTCTTTATAGTGACAGCTGCCCAGCTCCTCCACACAGGGGACCCGGACCCAGAAACCGGCCACCTCCTTCTCCAGGGTCACGTTCACCTGGGGGGTAAAGTAATAAACACTCGGAATACATGACGTGCTTATTACGGATTTCTGTGAGTGAGGTCACATGTCCTCAGACTCAGACACTGCTGTATGTACTCACAGCCAATAGAGTACTCGTACTACACCCAAAGCCAGTAGAGTACCAGTACTACTATACTCACAGCCAGTGGAGCAGTGAGCTCCACAGATGTGGATCCAGAGGCTGAGGCCTGCAGGTCTCCGGGGATGGAGACGGGATCAGGAGACACATTCAGAGTCTTCAGGACAGCTGGAGCATCTGGAGCTCCACAGTTCTTCCAGTCGAAGCCCAAGAGCTGTCCCCAAAGTACACATCAATGCAAGTTTTACTTCACTTCTGTACCTCGTGAGAGAATCCTGGTTAAACACGTCTGAGCCGCATGTGTTGGTCGATTTACAGAAAGGACGACTTAGTATTAGAGCAGTAAAGCTGGGACTGCAGTACTACTGTAGTACTACATTACACTTGTACTGCAGTGGCCGTGTACTAGTGTAGTGGTATGTAAAAGTAGTCATGTAACAGTACCGGAGTAATACTACTAAGTATACTCCTAGTAGTGCTACACAGTACTACAGTAATGTAAAAGTACTGTCACGCTGGACTCACCTGAACCTTTGAGACCTTCTTCAGACCGGAAGTGTTGCTCCTTACCGGAGTTATAAAAAACACCAGACCGACAGTTAAAAACAAAACTGTGTCCATCGTGGACAGACAGACAGACGGACGGACAGAGAGGACTGTCCGGGGACGGAAGCGGACTGTCCGGGGACGGAAGCGGACTGTAGAAGGAACAGAGGCGGTCGGTTGTGTTCTTTACTTCCGTGTTTACGAGGGAACCCGTCGGCCACGTGACCCCAGAGCCACGTGACCTGCTCCCACAAAGAGTGGACAGAACTTCAACCGCTGACGTCATCTATCGATATGTTTGTCACAACTGATCACATTTCCTTCTACGTGTTGTTTTACGTGGTAATAAAAACATACTTTAATTAATTGACGTAAATAAAGAAAACACGTATAATGAGGCAGAGGAGGAGGAGCTCAAGGGAGCCAGATGATGCTGTCAGTGGGAGGAGGAGGAGGAGGAGGAGGAGGAGGGGGGAGAAGAGGAGGATCCTGTCCGCCAGGAGCAGCAGCAGCATCATCAGCGAGCTCCTTCACATGTGCGAGAGGAAGATAGAGAGGTAGAAGGAGAAGAAGAAGGAGAAGGAGGAGAAGAAGAAGGAGGAGAAGGAGGAGAAGGAGAAGGAGGAGGAGAAGAAGGAGGAGAAGGAGGAGAAGGCCTCTCCTCCGCGTAGCCTCACCTCGTGTCCGGGACAAAGGAGGGACTATTTGACCTCTTGTGATGCTCCCGTGCTCGTCCTCCGCGCAGATGGAGGGATGCGAGGAAGAGGAGCGGCACGCGCACATGCACACGGAGGTAACCCGATAAAAGCTCCGAACCTCGTGTATTCTGCACGTGAACGCGCTTTATTAAAGCAGTCCGGATCGATCCGGCTCCGACGGGACGTTGGATCCGGATCGATCCGCCGGCCGGCTTCTTATTGTGGGTCCTTGAGAGGCGGACCCCTCCCTAAAAGAGCCGCTCCCCATCGAAGCGTCATTTCACATCATTATATATTTCATTGTTATATCGTCTTTTTATTACGCATTAAGATCGTTCTGTTCCAGAGAAACGAGCTCAGCTCAAATGTCTCTTTATTAGCACAAATAAATCAGCTGTGACTTCCTCTAATGCCTTGCTAAATTACCAGAGGAATGGAGCTCACAACCCGCTGGCTCCTCCCTTTTGCCCGCTATGAATAACCTCGAAACCTTTAGTGCCTTGCTTCATTCCCTTCATTCACATAGAGCTCAATATCCTCCTCTAAATAAGGAATTGAACTAGCAACCCGCCTGGTCAATTTATGCTGTGACAACCTCACCCTGAGGTGTATGTCTGTAGTTCCTGGGAATTGAACCTACAATCCTAGAAGTGTGTTAATGCCTTGCTTTGGGCATTGACTTACATAAATAGAAATGGACAGCTTTGTTCGGGATTTGAACCCCTAACCTTTTGCTGCTTCCCTCAATTGTTCTTGCTTTTCTTCCTGCAAAGAGGGAATGGAACCAGCAGCCTTACTTTAATGAAGTAAATGTAGTAATTTCAAGCATCATGTGTTTTAGCCACTAAACTGAAAATAATCTAACCCCCACCCTTGAAGGGCTGTTAGCCTGATTAATGCCTTGCTCTATTTCTAGTGCCTTGCCTCATCCAAGCATTAAATGGAACATTAGACCTTGTTTGTGCCGTGCTCCCTTGTGCTACAACGGGAGAATGGAACCAGCAACGTAGCTTAGCTCCTGTGTTAGAATCGTTGGAGCCACTGAGACTTTGGGGATTGAACCCTCAACCCTCGATAATGCCATTTTAACCGAGTCTCCTGATGAAAGAGCAGCAACTGCAACTCCCACAATGCCTTGCCAGCTGCTCTGCGGCTAGGCTAGCTAGCTGCATATTCAGATTCAAGTGATTTTTTATACATGTTGTTATTCCAAGTGGACGGTGAGGGAATCAAACCGCTCACCCTGGCAGGAGTGATGCCTTGCCCTCTGCCTCACTGAGCTCCTGAGGCAGACGTGAGCGGACAGAACGGGAGACTGCAGGTAGAGTGGAGGCAGAAATTGGGCCAAGTGCTTCGTGCCGGAGGAGAGAGAGACACAGAAAGAGACCGTTAATAACCCCCATCACCAGCTTTGTCTCCTCCATCGAAAAGGACCGCTCTCACCCAGCCTCTCGCTGTTTGCCCTCCTGCTCTCACCCAGCCTCTCGCTGTTTGCCCTCCTGCTCTCACCCAGCCTCTCGCTGTTTGCCCTCCTGCTCTCACCCAGCCTCTCGCTGTTTGCCCTCCTGCCCTTTGGGAGGCGCTACAGGGTGCTCCGTTACCGGACCAGCAGGTTCAGGAACAGCTTCATCCCTGCGGCCGTCACTCTACTGAACTCTGCCCCCCCTGAACTCTGAACTCTGCCCCCCACCCCCCTCAGTGACTGTACTCCCCCCTCCACCCTGGCTCGACTGCCACACACCCTCCTCAGCCACTGAACATTCGCACTGTTATTGTATATCCATTTCTTACTGTTCATATCTATTTATTCACTTATTACACTTTACATATGCTACATATATACACTTTTTGCTATTTTGCACTTCTGGTTGGATGTTAAACTGCATCTCGTTGCCTCAGTACTTGTACCCTGTGCAATGATAATAAAGTTGAATCTAATCTAATCTAAAACATGTCCACTGGAACATCTGTGACCTCCAGCTTCGTCGAGCCTTGTCCTCTGAAACAACTAGCTGGGCGTGGACTAACTGATCCAGGGTCTGTGTTTTGTCCTCAGTGCTCCAGACTGACGGAGGAGAGAGATGAAGCTGAGAGACAACTCAAACACATCAAGAGAGGTTAGTCATCGTCATCACCCTCCTCCTGCCAAGGCAGATGTTTTGCATTCTCTGTAGTGACCAGCAGGGGGCGACTTCTCTTGTCCCATAGAAGTCTATGAGAAAATGACTCAACTTCTCTCTTGATTTATCTTTTTATTATTTCTATTTTATCTTAATCTCTAGTTGTGAGTCTTCTTCAACACAGCATGATGTTCATTAGTCCTTTATGGTCCATGTAGTCAAACAGAATGAAGCCGGGGATGCTTTAGGGAGGGGCTACGCCTTGATTGACAGGTTACATCCTCCTCAGTCCAGATATGGTCACTGCATTTTGACTAGTTGCAAAAAAACAAACATGGCCATTTACCAAACTTTTCAAAGTTTTCAAAGTTGCAAACAGTGAGTGACGCTGCCATGAGACATGGGGGGTCCCATTACCTGCTCGTAGTAGTGACAGCAGGGAGGGAGGAGAAACGTCAGCGGAACGTGAAGCGTCATCCCGTCTACAGTCAGACAGCGGACCCCCGAGTGGGAGGGTTCACCCACAGGGGGTTCCTGTCTCCATGACGACCTTGAATCCTGAGGCAATGTATTGATAGCAGATCAGATGCAGAAGGGTGGATGTTGTTGAGGCCACTTTGCTGGAGGTTGGGATTCATTTATGTGTCACATCAACACGACACTTTAGTTAATTTAGCAAATATCTTTCTATGGATTTGCTTTTATTCAATTCGGTGTGGTTGCTCATGGTCCTGTGGCTAACCGCGAGATTTCAGGAACATACACACTCGACAGATAACAACAGAAAGATCCTTTTAATTGATAACTTGGGGGAAAACAACAGCAGATTCCTCCCGGTCGGGGTCTCGGTCCTCAATGACTCGTCCAGGGGAACAGCAGAGGCGTGAAAGGGGGGTCATGCTAGCCGCTCGTCTCCCAGGCTCACGGTGTCCTTCCTCCCGGTCTGTTCAGCCACCTTACGTATCAGTCACCTCTTCAATGGGTGATGGGCTGCAGGTGTTCCCGATGCCGGTTGCAGCCCCCTGTACTGGGTAACACCCCCCCGCTATCGCCTCCCCACCGGACTCCCCCGTCTAGGCCCGGCCCCTCCTCCGGCTTTGCCACTGTCCCCAGAGGAGGGCGTTTTTAAAACTTGACTAATGAAATATGTCCAGTAGCCTTGATTTGGTTTGTGTCCAACTACGTCCATTAGCGTTTATCAACCGGCTCAAACTAAGCTAACTTCATTCCCATGAACTGTGAAAGCTCCTCATAAATTATTCTATAGAACAGACAAAAAATGTGGCGGGTGTGTGTGTGTGTGTGTGTGTGGGGGGGGGGCTTGTACATTCTACTCCAACCAGCTCAAACATGTCCTGTCCTCAGTGTCTCAGATGGTGATTGAGGAGGTGTGCGTTCTGCAGACTCAGCTGGAGATTGAAAAGTCGTGCCGGGAGAATGCAGAGGCCGTGGCCACGGAGGTCAGACATGCAAACACATATTATAATATATATATATATATATATCTAGATATATATATATATATATAATATATATATATATATATATATACATATATTCACATCAAATGCAGTTTATTTCAGCACCAGGATGAAACATTATTTCAGTTTTGTGTGTGTCTCATTGACGTCTGTGACCTTTAACCTCCAGCTGAACTCTGAGAACAGGAAGTTAAAGTACATGAGCCTGTCGCCTCGTCCGGGTTTGGACGAGATGCTTCCGAGTAATCTCCGACTGCATCGCCATGGACGCAGACGCTGCAGACGGGAGTCCTGACACCTTCACACAGTACCAACTACAAGTTAGAGGTACGTAGTATTATACTCACACAGGTTGAAGGTACAGTACGTAGTATTATACTCACACAAGTTGAAGGTACAGTACGTAGTATTATACTCACGTAAATGCTGGATATCTACCTCCACTAAAGACTAACAATTGTAGCACTTAACTTGTACATCGGCTTATTGATGAAATCACACTTTCTTGTTCCTTGTTCTTCTGAGTTTGTGTCCTTATGGTTGAAATGTTCTTATTGTAAGTCGCTTTGGATAAAGCGTCAGATAAATGCCATGTGATGTGATGTAAAACTAGACTCTGTACTGCTGCTGATTGGGCTGTAATCTGTATATAAATACGTTCACCATGTGCTGATCCTCTGTTGTTGTTTTCAGAACTGGGGGAAACAGTAAACACCTTATTGGAGGAGAAGAAGACTTTTGTTACTAGGATACATGAACAGCAGAGACGGATAGAAGGGCTGACGTCTCAGGTGAGAAGGCGCAGAAGCAGCTTTCTTCTTCTTCTCTTCTGGTTAGGGTGGTTCTGGGAGTGGCGGTTGATTTGAATGTTCCTGATCTTCAGGTCTGTCACTGGTGGTTCCTGATCCGGTGAGTCTTAAGAAATGTGTTACTGCTTTGTGTGGAGCGGTACTGCAGACGTGGCGGCGGTGAAGCCAATGGAGAGACAGAGCCGAGCCAAGCGGGAGGAGTTTCATCAGCTCAGCCCGGAGGAGAGAGCCGGTCGGATTGTCAGTCAGATGGCATCGTGTCGGCACCAAGGATCGATGGGTCTCTCCGCTTAGTTTAGCTTCCAGAATATACTTGCACAGGACGCGGCACAGTGTTTTGTTGGAGAGGTCTGAGAACCTGATATGTCAGCGGGCGGCGCTTTCACTGCTTTTCCTCATCAGAGACACTTTGTATGTGTGCAGAAGAAGTGAACGTTGGTGTTGTGTCTTTGGATCAGTAGAAGGCCTTCGACAGGGTGGACCGCTCATATCTGTTTCTGCAGTGGTTTTGGTGCTGGTCCTGTGGTTTGGGTGAATTTATTGTACAGTGGAGCTCTATGAATGGTGAAGACGAGGCCGATCCCTGTACAGCGAGGGATAAGACAGGGCTGTCCCATCTGCGGTCCGCTACATAGCCTAGCTTTTGGATTCCTTGCTGTGCAGGTTGAGAGGTCGACTCAGTGGTGTCTCAGTGTCGGGGTCTGAAAGAACGCGGCAAACCAAGCGAACGTGATCTAAACTGGACGCCCGGTGGGGACATCTGGAAGGATTCAGCCAAACAACTTCTCTGGTTCTGGTAGATTTATTTGTCAGATCACAGGTCGAGTATCAGCGCCCGCGTTTGCAAAGGCAAGAAGTCCCGTTCTGTCATCTGACATCAGGAAGAACATTACATTTTGTACTGTTAGATATAAAGAAAAGATTCTATTGGCCCTTAACCGGCGTCGAGGAGCAGTGTGGTCTCCTGAATTAACGTGAACATAAGGAACAAAGCGTGCGTGTTGTGTGGTGCCTGCTGGGTCTCTGAATCTCATCCTCTCAGACCAGCGTCTGCCTGGGTCGCGACTTTCGGCTTTCCCTCTGACCTGCACTCCTCAAGACAGTGACTCCCGAGCTTTTGATTATCAGGTCCTTGAGGTTTCATCGTCCTCTCATTGTATCTGCTTATGCAGATCATGTTGGTGTCTTTGTCACCAGTCAGAAGGACGATCATCACCTGTAAAGAGCGCACCTTGAATCCTGAGCTGGGGGAGTTGTGCATATTCTGTAAAACTCTTAAAAACTTGTCTCCAGGGTCTCTGGGATGCTTTTATGTTTGTTTGTTTGCCTTTGGTCCATTGACTAACACGCAGAACCGGCTCAGAGGGCCAGCAGGGGGGAGCCGGCCGGTACCGGTTCTGAAGGACGGCTTGAGCGTGGGAACATGCTATGAAAGGATCGGCGATCGACGGGTTCTGCCGCATTTGGGCTGCTGAGGCGTTTTATGCACCGTGGGGAGGAGGGAGAGCTGGTCCTTCATCTTTGATGTGTTCCTCGTTTGGATGAGTTGGTTTATTTGTATATTTATCTTGAGTTGATGACTTGACAGGCATCTGTCCTGGATGAAAAAGGACTTGCTCTTCTTCTCCTCCTATGCGATGAAAGTGTTTGTATTGACTATAGATTCATCTTTGACCTTTGACTGACTTCTTTGTTTCCCTGCAGTCTGAGAAAGATCAAGCCGAGATGAAGGAGCTCCGTGAGACTGTTGAGCAGCAACGTAAAACCATCAGAGATTCAACAGAGGTGACCGACAACAACAAGCAACTGATGCTTCAAAACACACACTTAACCTTCTCTTAGCATGTTAACAGTTGAAACTGTAACATGTTAATGTGGATTTTTGAGGTTGGTCCGTTGTGTTAGCATGCTAACAGGCTAACCCTCTCCCTGCCTCGTTAGTCTCCACCATGGCGGCCCAGGAGTACGACGGGATGAAGGACCAGCTGGACCTGGAGCAGAGCCTGAGAGTGACAGCTGAGACGTACGCTCACCAGGTGAACGAAGGCTCCAAGGGGGGATGAAGCAGAGAAACATGAAGAAGATGTTTCATTGTGAGAAGTCTGATGATGTAACTCATACCTTCTGTTGGATGAACGCTGACCGCTGTTCTTCTGTTATTAATAACCCTGTGTGTTAGTAACCTGATGAGGAAACCTCATATCCACTGAACTGCAGGACAAGAACAGACTCATCTCCTCTTCTTCCTTTTCCCCCTCCTCTTCTTCTTCCTCCTCCGTCTTTTCCTCTCCCTGCTCTTCTTCCCTGTCCTCCTCCTCCTCTTCATCATCCTCCTCCTCGTGCTCTACTTCAGATGCTGGTGAGGCAGAAGGAGGCCAACAGGCAGAGCATGCTGCTGCTGCAGAGCTCTGAGCCCAGTGTTCAGCTCCTTAACGCTCTGGAGGACGTTGCCACCATCACCAAGACGCTTGAGGAGGAGCGAC